TTTTTTTTCTTCATTTTAATTTTATTTTATTTTAAATTTTTTCAATATATTTTTTATGTCATAAACTTTCATATAGCTTCGCTTGAATTTATTCTTTCAACATTATTTTTTAGATAATTGCTGCGGATCAGTGTAGGCGTCTGAAATTGCTTTGCTATTAGATTTATTATGATTATCAACACATGTACATAAGTATACATGTGTATAAATCCAACAAAGAACATGCCTAGTGACTAGGCACTGATCTACACCGTGCTCTTAGTTCAGAATCGGCGAAGCCTGTAGGCGGATGCTGTAAGCGATTTAAGCACAAAACTTGCCCGCTGTTAAGCACACTCATACTTCAACACACAAAAAACACACGAATGTACATGTGTATGTGTGTGCAAATAGTAAATAGGCGCATAAATGAGGAAATGTGCTGTAATCGCATTAATGCTCACTACATGCTGCCCACATTTGGCAGATCACTTCTCCGTTTTGGTTTTTCATCTTTTCATCTTATTTCCTTCGCTTTTTATCCGTTATTGAGCGATACACGCAATGGTTGTTGTTGCGTTTTGTGCGCACATTTTTCAAGATTTCTCGAGCAGTGTTGCTGCTGTCATTGCAGCTTTTTTGCTGCTGCTTGCCGCCATCAAAGCGTGGAACGTGCTGGAAAATTGGCGAATTTCACACACACACGCACACACACACAAATGAAACGGGAAAATCTGAAGTGATTGTAAGTGGCACAGTTTATTGTGGATTATGACAGAGTAAAGAGATATAATTGCTTTAAAGTGGATTATCGCTCATTGCGGCGACGTTGTGCAATCGTTTCTGGTGGCGGGTGTGCGTCATTTTCCTTTTTTCAGCGCCTCAGCTCTAAAAACTTTTAGTGTCGGTTGTTTTTGTGTTTGCCTCAATAGTGCTTGACGATTCGAAGTGTCAATTATGTGACTTGAGTTGTCAAAACACAATCAAAATTTAGTATTTTTGAAGTAATTGAGGCAATGAGCTGTGTTATCTTTCACAAATTTGTGAGTTTTTGTGTGAAGGTGGTGGCTGACGGCACTTGTTGGGGGGGATTCGTGGAGAGGATGCATGTAGTGTGCAAATTTTAGTGAAAATTTTCAAAAATATATGCATATTTGCAGGCGAAGTTTGAACAAAACATGTATTTTACTGCTTTTATGGACCTTTTTTGGAGCAATAAAAAAATTAGACGTTTTGTGGTCTCTTAAAATTTTAAAACAATGTTGCTTTTTTTTTTATATGATACTTTGTGTCTAAAGGTAGGCAATATTTCAATAGAATGAATGCCTAAAGGTAGGCAACATTTCAATAAAATAAATTTTTGTATAAAAAAAAACTTTGTAGTCGAAATGAGGCGATTATCTATAAGTAGAATTTTTTATATGGCGCGACGGGAGCAGTAGTTGGGCATTCCATAAGCTGAAGTAAAAGTATACATGTTCCCTATGTCATAGATTTTGCACTACACGTCACCTGCTAATCTTATGAATTTTTGTAAGGATATATTTTTATTTTTTTTCCATTTCTTTTTTTGATTTGCATATTTATAGTTACTTTATAAGACTACTCTTCCAAGTATATGTATGTACATATGAATATACTCTGCCCTAATATGCAACTATTAACGTATTATCAAAAAAGTTAAAAATCGTTATCAGATATAATAACCACTAAATAACCACTTTACAACCAACACATAACCACTTAATAACCAACATAACATAACCAAAACTCAAATCTCGTTTCGTCCCTTCTTCTGTAAACTTATAAAGTTTTTTAGGTGTTTAAGTGACTATATGTACTGTATACTTGTATACATATCTATTAGTATCTATATAATAAATTGTTCCATTTACTTACCATACATTTTACCCTCATCGGATAGAATAATTTTTCGTCGACCACATGGCGGATATATGGAGAGAGCCTCTTGAAAACTCTGTTCGATGTCCGGACTCCAAACACCTTCCGCATCGGCAGAGGAGAGATCCTTTTCGTCCTGCGAGCCATGAGAAAAAGCGAAATTTGAAAAAAAAAAGATTAATGAATGCGTGACCACAACATACATATAATATTATGAAAACATATTTAAACACAATATACAATTATAGTTCCTTTATACACATGTAGTTCCACTGAACCGGCCTCTTCTAGTTTTTATTTTCATTTTTATTTTTTCAGCATAAAAAGTATCACAAAGGCGCATTTAATGTGTGAGAAAGTGCACTTTGCACATTATGCGAACCCTCTGCGACATAATCGGTTCTGACATTAATGAAGGGCAAGCATATGCAACTGTGTATGTGTACAAGCGAAGGCACATGATGCAAGGATATGGCATAAAAATGCTGGAGTCTCGTTACTTTGTATATATATATACATATATGTATACTGATGTAATTGTTTAAGTTTTCTCAATATATGTATTATATTAAAATGGTTGCTGACTGCTGCAAAGTGCAAGTCATTCTACTTTTCTCTCATACGCTCTCTTCATGTATCAGTTACAGCACAGTGGGCGTTTGTGGTGCAAATTGTTTACAAAAATTATAATAATGAGTGGAGATAATTATTGAAGTGCAGAAACATTATTTTTTCGAAGTAGTGCATGAATTGTCCGAATTCGTAATGATTCTTGAAATCTTGAAAGTTGATGATTTCGAAATTAATTTCGAACTTTTTTCAAATATTATATTACTTCGAAATATAAATGAGCAAATATTTGTGATACATGTGATATATAGCTAATGAAATGTAAATTTTATGTGACTACTTAGAACCTACACTGTTCAACATTTCATATTTTCTATGGATGGAAGATTTAACTTAAGCCTTTTTTGTACGAAGTTTTTGCAAAAAAATGACATTAGAACCCTTATGGCGGCCGGACTAACGATCACAAATAACGTTTCCGTCTTACGACAGTCGGGTCTAAATAATTCGACACTATTCCTCGAAGTTACGCGAGGAATATTTTCTATTCTTAGGACAACAACAAATAATAATAACGATATGTATTTATCCACTATCATTGCCATGACAGTCGGATATATCAAAAGTAACCACAATAGAGACGATTCAGCCTTGCGTTTGTGAAACCTAATTGGAAATATTTCCGCTCACCACGAACAAAAAATTATTTATGGCAAAGATAAAATGAAAACCAACAAATAATATGTAAAAAATTTTTGTGTTATTTTTATTTTTTTTTTTAATTTTTTGTTTAAATAATTTTTTTGAAAATCTGGGAATTTTTGAGTTTTCAATGCAAATTATTAAAAAATTAATTACTAAAAGTATGAATTTATATATATTACATAACATACATGTAAAGCTACTAGTTAACTATTTTTTTTCTATAAAAGCCTACTATTTAAAATACATATATATTTAAGAATAATTTTACAGTTAATTATATTCTATAAGCAAATAGCTATACAACCGGACAGTTAA